GTAGTTGTGTGTGTGTGTGTGTGTGTGTGTGTGTGTGTGTGTGTGTGTGTGTGTGTGTGTGTGTGTGTGTGTGTGTGTGTGTGTGTGTGTTACCTGCTTTAACCTTGTAAATAACTTCTCTATTTCTTTTTTTTTTTAGTTTATTATAGGATTTGCTAAAGGGGGTTGTCTTTGGTATAAGATTGAGAGTGTAATTGACCTGGGGTAAGCAACCAGTCCTTTGGGCTTGGGAGAAACCTGAATATTGTTGTGATTTTTGGTGTGAGGGACCATCGGTCACAAAGGCAGGCGTGTGTAGGTGCAAGATAGATCAGAGTATCCCAGGGGACTGTCTGTCACTCTGTGTTAGGGCTGGTATAGCGTCGGCCTGGAGGAGTTTACACTTGATAACTAGTTGGCAAAGTCTAAGTATAGAATTCACACCCAATCTTTGGTTTGTACCCTGCTTCTTAGCAGTGTGCCCGGAGGCTGGTACTCACGCCCTTGAGCCGCTCCAGCCAGCCTGCCAATATGAACTGGGGTTTAGTGCAAACAAGGATTAATTCAGGGCAGCCACTGGCCTGTGTGATACAGGACGTTTCAGCAGATGACCACAGGGGTCCCTGTGAGTCTGAAAGAAGTGGAATTTGTCTCCTAATGACTCATGCTTTTGCTATTGTATTATTATGGTGGTGTCATTTCCAGTAAGTCAGATGCCAAAGGTCTCTCTGGCAGATAACCGGCCGATTCCCCCTGCAAACAACGCCCCCTTCCCCCATGTGGCTGAGCTATTGGCAGGAGAGGAGCTGTCTTTACAGGAAGTGCAGAGCTGAACCACTAGAGTTTTCCGAGTGACTGAGGCGGACTCAGCCCTGCCAGGAGCCATCTGAGCCTTGCAGGGATGGCGGGCAAGCACCAGAGTGAGGCAGGGGTGCCCAGGGAAAGGGAAGAGGAACAGGCTGAGTTTCATACACTTGTCCAGGAGTTCCTGAACTACTTCTTGGGGGCCCACGTGTACCCCGAGCAAAGGGAACACCAGAGAAGGGAGGGGGAGCGCCGGCTGGTGCAAGCGCTGGTCGGCAGGATCATGGCTCAGGTGCACGAGTGCAACGTGGAGATGTTCACTGGAAAAGCCATCCTGGTGGGCAGCCAAGCCCAGCACCTCCACGTCCGGACAGAGTCCAGCAGCAGCGACTACGACTTCCTGGTCCCCATCCAGTACAACACGAACCTGATCCTTATGGGCAGCCTGTACAGCAAACTCTACACCCCGAAAAGTCATCTGCCCGCCTGGGAGAGCATGGAGCCCGGGGTGCCGGTGTACCGCTGGGGGAACAAGGTGGTGGTGGATTATAACAAGCTGATAATGAGAGATCTCTTGGAGAAGAAGACGGTGGACATTGACCTCACAGAGGAAGACATAAAAACAATAAATGACCGGCAGGTAAGTGAGACCATAGGGCATTCAAAGTCACTCTCTGCTAGCCCAGCTCTGGGATCTTCAGCCCCCCCTCACCCCCTCAGGTCTGCCATTGCCCCTCAATCCTGATCTGCAGCCCCCGGCTAGCCCAGCCCGGCGCTTTCCACCCCCACAGCTCTGCCAGCATCCCTTAGTCTCCACCCGCAGCCCCCGGCTCTCTCAGCCCCGGGCTCCCCACCACAGCTCTGCTGGTCCCACTCAGTCCCAACCCGCAACTTCCTCTTGATTTGGATTAAAGCGTCTAAAGATGTCTTGTTTCACCCCTTTCCAGCTACGGCTTTGGAAGAATAGCGTTAGTCCATATAGTGTAATGACAGAATTGTGGGAGTGTGTCCAGAAAGCTCTGACTGAAGGTAAATTTCTTTGTGAATATTCATTCATTATTACTGCATTAATTAGTTAAGGCCGGTCAGGAAGATGATAAACACTGCCATAGGGGGTTTGGTTTGGTTTGGTTGGCTTTCTTGTTTTTTTTCTATTAACTTTTTATTTTTTTAAATATATATATATATATATAGAGAGAGAGAAACACCAAACGTAACAAACTATACATAAACTTCTCGAGAAGCAATGTGCTTGGAGTCGGGATCTTCAAGGTGGATGTGCTCCCAGTGCACTGGGATCATGGGGGTGGGTAGCTACAGCACTGGAATGGTGGGGTGGGGGGTAGATGCTCCCAGTGCACTGGGATCATGGGGGTGGGTAGCTACAGCACTGGAATAGGTGGGGGGGGGGGGTAGATGTTCCCAATGCACTGGAAACGTGGCGGAGGGGTGGGGTGGGGGAGAGGCTCCCAGCACACTGGAGTCCTAGAGGTGAGGTGGGGGTAGGTGGATGTGCCCAGCACAATAGACTCTTGGGGCGGCGGGAGGTAAACCGGATACCTGGCACCCTATCTGCTACATTAAAGGGGGGGGGGTAGCTTATCCCAATGCACTGGAAACGTGGCGGAGGGGTGGGGTG